AAAGACATTGAATTGTTGGAAAGGGGTCAGAGAAGGGTTACTAGAATGGTGCCTGGGATGGCGGGGTTGTTATAAGATGAGAGGCTGAAATTTCTCAAATTGTTTTCTCTTGAAAAAAGTATACTTGGTTGGATCTGATTGAGGTATTTAAGATTATAAATGGAATTGATAGTGTTGATGTATCGTATTTTTTTTATATTTAACAATGAGAATAGTAGGACTAGGGGACACAAATATAAATTTTGGCAAGATAGGAGTCATCTTCAGTTAAGACGGTTTCATTTTTCTAACAGGGTGGTTGGCTTTTTGAATGGGTTGCCTTCAGATGTCGTAGAGACAGTAAATTTAAGTGAGTTTAAGAAAAAGCTTGATAAGTTTATGAATGAAGAGGGCTGGGTTTAAAATTTTATTTTATTTTTTAAATCATTTTAATTTAGTTTAGAGAATAGAATAGCCGAAATGGACCAATAGGTACCATGTTGTCCCAAAATATTATGTTATTATGTATACTCAGATAGTTGATTTTCTCTATAATGGATAACAGAATAACAGTTCAGGATTGGAAATAAGTTATATAGAAATACTAAGATATCAGAACATGTAGTTTTAACAATTTTAGATAAAGATAGTTTGAAAGCCTAACACTGTATATTTTCACTAGTACCATGGTTTAAGGTAACACATATTTGAGGTACAACTGACTGAAGGTTAAAGTCCTTATAGTTATTTCTTGTGTGCCTAAAATATATAATATACCTAGGTGTAAAAGTTTAACCAGTTGAAGTGTTGCTTGACATTAATACACATTTGTATAAGAAAATAAGCCATAAAGTTTCTAATCAACATACAAGTTTTTAGTTCAAAAATATTCCAAATATAAAATTAAACTATTCATATCTCTGGTAATGATAGATTTTGGACTTGTTTTGTTTGAAATACTTGTTAGTAATAACATTTTAATTTAATACAAACTTTATTTCTTTACTTGGTTCATGCTAGACCAGTTTCAAGCTTCAAACAGCTCTACATGTGAATGGCAACTTCCTGATGTAACAATGGAAGTATTGAAGATGGAAGTTGAACCTTTGTCAGATGAAGAAGAGAATGCTTTGCTGGAAGTAAAGTGCCTAATAAATGAAAAAGAAACTAAGGATGGATCACCTAGTAAGTGCAAGTGAGACTTGTCACTTAATAAGTTACTGTTTTGTTCATGTACACATATTTATAAAATGAAATATTGTCTTTTAGATTTGGTGATTCCTATTCATTACAAAAGTAGACATAGTTTAAATAGGAGAATTAAAGCATCTCTGATGAATGGTTTACATTTGGAGCACTTCAAAACCTTATTTTATTCTTTTAAATAATAGTTAAAATGGATCACAAAAAGTTATAATTTCATTATATAGATCACTCATTAGGCCACATTTGGAGTAATGTAAGTCTTGGGCACCTTACCTTAGGAACTAATGGTTCTTAAACCAGTAGTTCTCAGCTGATCATGATAGCAATGTTGATGTGAATGAGTCTTAAAACAGTAGTTCTTAGCTGGTCATGATAGTAGTGTTGATGTGTATGGTTCTTAAAACAGTAGTTCTCAGCTGATCATGATAGTAGTGTTGATGTGAATGGTTCTTAAAACAGTAGTTCCCAGCTGATCATGGTAGCAATGTTGATGTGAATGGGTCTTAAAACAGTAGTTCTTAGCTGGTCATGATAGTAGTGTTGATGTGAGTGGTTCTTAAAACAGTAGTTCTCAGCTGATCATGATAGTAGTGTTGATGTGAATGGTTCTTAAAACAGTAGATCTCAGCTGATCATGATAGCAGTGTTGATGTGAATGGTTCTTAAAACAGTAGTTCTCAGCTGATCATGATAGTAGTGTTGATGTGAGTGGTTCTTAAAATAGTAGTTCTCAGCTGATCATGATAGTAGTGTTGATGTGAATGGTTCTTAAAACAGTAGATCTCAGCTGATCATGATAGCAGTGTTGATGTGAATGGTTCTTAAAACAGTAGTTCTCAGCTGATCGTGATAGTAGTGTTGATGTGAATGGTTCTTAAAACAGTAGTTCCCAGCTGATCATGGTAGCAATATTGATGTGAATGGTTCTTAAAATAATAGTTCCCAGCTGATCATGGTAGCAATATTGATGTGAATGGTTCTTAAAATAATAGTTCTCAGCTGATCATGATAGCAGTGTTGATGTGAATGGTTCTTTAAACAGTAGTTGTCAGCTGGTCATGATAGCAATGTTGATGTGAATGGTTCTTAAAACAATAGTTCTTAGCTTATCATGATAGCATTATTGATGTGAGTGGTTCTTTAAACAGTAGTTCTCAGCTTGTCATGATAGTAGTGTTGATGTGAATGGTTCTTAAAACAGTAGTTTCCAGCTGATCATAATAGCAATGTTGATGTGAATGGGTCTTAAAACAATAGTTCCCAGCTGATCATGATAGCAATGTTGATGTGAATGGGTCTTAAAACAGTAGTTCTTAGCTGGTCATGATAGTAGTGTTGATGTGTATGGTTCTTAAAACAGTAGTTCTCAGCTGATCATGATAGTAGTGTTGATGTGAATGGTTCTTAAAACAGTAGTTCTCAGCTGATCATGATAGCAGTGTTGATGTGAATGATTCGTAAAACAGTAGTTCTCAGCTGATCGTGATATCATTATTGATGTGAGTGGTTCTTAAAACAGTTGTTCTCAGCTGATCATGATAGCATTATTGATGTGAGTGGTTCTTAAAACAATAGTTCTCACCTATTATGATAGCAGTGTTGATGTGAATTGTTCTTAAAACAATAGTTCTCAGCTGATCATGATAGCATTATTGATGTGTGTGGTTCTTAAAACAATAGTTCTCAGCTGATCATGATAGCATTATTGATGTGTGTGGTTCTTAAAACAATAGTTCTCAGCTGATCATGATAACAGTATTGATGTGAGTGTTTCTTAAAATGGTAGTTCTCAGCTAATCATGATAGCATTATTGATGTGAGTGGTTCTTAAAACAATAGTTCTCAACTATCATGATAGCAGTGCTGATGTGAATGGTTCTTAAAACAATAGTTCTCAGCTGATCATGATAGCATTATTCATGTGAGTGGTTCTTAAAATGGTAGTTCTCAGTTAATCATAATAGTGTAGTATAGGAAATACCTTGTCTGTTTGTGTAGTTGTATAATATTTATTCTGAATTCATTCTTTGTTCTAAATATGTGCAGCTTTCACATAACATGTGATAGTTGTTCTTGTTTCAAGTTACCCTTGTTCCTTTGTTATTCTTAAAGTAGGTAATACTTAGTACAACTTTTTGTAAGAATGTTGATGCCAGTATCCTTCAGTGGTTGTTCAGGTGATATGACCCCACCTATGTGTAACGAGGATGAGGTAGCACATGATGTTCTGGGTAAATGTAAGGTTTCTTTGAAACTGAAAAATCTTGGATTTAGTGGTTTAATTTAGAAAATCATTAGAGGCAGTCTGGCAGATGATCTTGATCTAAGAGAGCATCCAGTAAAAGCAATCATATTTGTAAGTTCACCATAAGGAAACACACTATTTGTATTTTACATTAAATTAAGATTGTTCATTCTGTTTTGTACTTGTGTCCAGTCTCATTACTCTTTTTAACATCGACTCAGTTAAGTAAGAGTTTAGTAGTAATGTGTAATCAATCTCCTGATCATATATCCAGTTTAGTAGACCTGTCCAATAGCTTGAACTTATCTAAATGTTTATCGCAAAGTAGCTTTAATGTGAACTAATGTTTCTTAATGTATGTGTGTATTTCCTTATCTAATATTATTAATGAAAAAACTTGTATACTACAGGTTAATCACAATTTTTAAAAACAGTCTGATATATAATGGTTGGAGATGGCTTGAATGGGTAATGAAGAAAAACTTTAATATAAGTTTAACATAACAGCAAAAGTGCAAATGATGATTGAAAAACCATGGGGAAAAGTTGTTTTTTTGCTGTTAT